GCGGTCATGGATGAGGAGGCCGGGACGATTACATTCAAGATTCTATCTACCGCGTCGACCTATTCTGAAGTGACTTCCATGAGCAAACTGGCCAACTTGTTCTTGTTCCTGACAGACGAGGCGCGTCTGAACCAGATGAGCACAGTTGCTGCTGCTGACTGTGGAGTATCTTGTGCTTTACAGGTTTGGCTAGACTTTTGTTTTATTTAGCTCCTTACTTTCGTACTGATGACAATACCTTGTTGTGCAGGCACTCACGAGCAGTATTCACCTAAGGAAATCTGTGGTGGCGTAGGAAAAGAGGGTACAAGATGTGTCCAAGGCGAACACTAGCTTGTGCCAAAGAGAGGCAATAACCCAAAAGGCCGAGCAAGAGGGTCAGCAGCATCTGAGGGATAGCGAGCGTGAGTTGGAGAGGTTGAGGCGTGAGTTGACCATGAAGACCACGGAGATCAAGTCTCTCAGGGAGTAGTGTATTTCCATCGCTGATGACGTTATCATCAAGGCCCGAGGTGAACTCATGCTTGAGTTCAAGGAAGGGAGGACCTCTCACTAGGATCCGGACGAAGACATCCAGCTCATGCGGGAGTTGTTAGAAGAGGGAGATAGTCATCCAAGGGGCAGGATGAGGAGCAAATGCCTGACCTTGCTAGCCAGCTAGGGCTATCGGCTACTGGGGATGCGGGCGACCGAGCTGCTGGAGAGGGTACTGGCGGTGCAGACATGACGGCCGAGTCAGAGATGGAGGAGGCGACTCGTACTGAGGATACTTAGCTTAGTTTTCCTTTATGTATTTTAGGGTCTACGATGCCTTTTTTCTTGGCGTGTGCCTTTTTTCTTGGTGTGTGTGTCGTTTTTGTACTTTGAACTAAACCGTTTGGGGTTGTATGTATTATATTCGGTTGTTCTAACTTTTGATGCTTTCTTCATAGATGAGTGAGTTGTTCATTGTTTCTTTACTTGTAGATGCACTATGTTGTGTTTGTTACTTTAGTGCGGCCTAGTGGCTGAGGCATGTAGGCCTTATGTTGGGCTAGGTTGGTGATTTGATTATTGAAGGTGTAAGAACCATTCACTCGGTTTGGCCAACCGAGTACACGGTCTCCTGGATTGAATGAAGTCAATTCGAAGGTGTGAATTCTAGGATCAAACAGGGCCAACTCGAAAGTGTGAGTCGTGGGTTGGGCAGAGTCGATCTGATGGTGTAGATTTGTAGATCAGGTAGCACCGATCAGGAAGTTGATTTCATGAACTGAGCGGGGTCAATTCGAAGGTGCAAGTTCATGGATCGGGCAGGGCTGATCTGAAGGTGTTATCATGAGTCGAGCAGGGTCGATACGATGGTTCAAATCTATGGATCGACCAAGGCCGATCTGAAGGTGTTATCGTGAATCGAGCAGGATTGATTCGATGGTGCAAATTTATGGATCGGGCAGGGTTGATCTGAAGGTGTTATCGTGAATCGAGCAGTGTCGATTCAATCGTTTAAATTTGTGGATCGGGTAGGGCCGATCTGAAGGTGTAACAAACAATTGATTGAACGGAGTCGATTCGAAGACGAGAAATTTCTGAATAATACTTCATTAATACTTGGCCATGAGACCGACTGTCTATGAGGAGGTGGATAGGCCCACTCATCCTTTTTAAACGAGAAAGAAAAGTTAAAAAAAAAGGAATCATAAAAAACAAGTTCACCTAGAAATAGTAGCATTTGAGGTGAATGGCATTCCAACTGTTACTGATGTCTTTGCCCTCGGGGGTTTGGAGTTTGTAAACGCCCTTCCCTACTTCTTTAGTTATCTTGTAGGGGCCTTGCCAGGTGGGACCAAGTTTGCCAGAGTTGATCTCTTTGGTGTTTTGGAAGACCTTGCGGAGTTCCCAGTCGCCTATCTTGAAAGTGCGGATCCTCATGTTGCGGTTGTAGTGTCGGGCGGCCTGTTGCTGATAGACTTCATTACGGATGCTCGCCCATTCCCGTAGCTCGTCGACGGTGTCCAAGTTCTGGCAAAGGTTCTAGTTGTTTGATTCCTCGTCTGCCTATTGGAGCCCAGTGGACGGGACTGATACTTCGATTGGGATGACCACTTCAAAACCGTATGTAAGGGAGAAAGGGGTCTCACCCATTAACGAGCAAGCCGTGGTTCGGTATGACCAAAGGACTCCGGGTGGCTTATCTGCCCATGCACCCTTAGCTTTCTGTAATCGCTTCTTTAATGTCTGAATGATGGTCTTGTTTGATGAATCGGCCTAGCCATTAGACTGGGGGTTGTGGGGGGTTGAGAAGCTCAATTTTATTCCCCACACGTTACAGAAATCCTTGAAGCCTAAACTGATGAACTGGGATCCATTGTCGATGACGATCTCCTTCGGTATCCCAAACCTACAGATGACATTCTTCCAGATGAAAGCTTTTACCTCTCAGTCTCTGACTTGTGCAAAGGCTTCGGCATCAATCCACTTGGTAAAGTAGTCTGTCATAGCTAGCATAAAGACTCGTTGTCCAGGTGCAGTCAGTAGTTTTCCCATGATGTCCATTCCCCACTTCATAAAGGGCCAGGGTGTGAGGATGGAATAGAGTCGCTCCGGTGGGAAGTGTGAGACATGAGCAAACCTTTGACAACTATCACACTTCTTCACATAAGCGGCCGAATCGGAGCGTATGGTCTGCCAGTAATATCCAGCAGTGATCAACTGGTGTGCAAGGCTGCGTCCCCCAGCATGGTTTCCACATTAGCCTTCATAGAGTTCGGCGAGAACACTTTGGGCCTCTTTTGGGCTTGTGCACTTAAGATAGGGGCCCGAGAATGATTTTCTAAGGAGTTAGCCCTCATGTATGGTGAATTTGGCGGTTCTTGCTTTCAGTCGACGTGTTTCATTCTTGTCAGCTAGGAGTTCGTCATGTTCCAAGTACCTCACTATCGGAGTCATCTAGCAGTCGGCTAGTTCAACATCCATTACTTCCTCGTGCGACTTGTTTAGTGGTTATTCCTTCCAGTTGGCTGGCCATTGCATGAACAATAAAGGGATGGACAACTGAGAAGAACATTTGAGTGTTGAGCCAAGGTTAGAGACGGCGTCAACGTGAGAGTTCTCTACTCTCGGGACTTGGACTATGGAGAACTCTTCGAATTGGGCCTATAGTCCCTTGACCATGTTCAAGTAAGCCGTCATCTTCGAGTTGCATGCTTGGTATGTGCCTTGCAGTAGATTGACTATGAGCTAGGAGTCGGACTTTACCTTCAGTCTCTTGGCTCTAATTTCTTTGGCTAAGGAGAGTCCAACAATGAAAGCCTCATATTCGGCTTCATTGTTTGTGCACTTGAACCTAAACCGTATTGCTCGCTGGATGATGTCTCCCTCTAGTGAAATCAGTACTAGCCTGAGTCCACTTTCGTTCACGTTACTTGAGCCATCCACTAAAAGAGTCCATTTGGAGGGCGGCCATTCAGTCAAGTATAATAACTCCTTTTCTACTTGGGTGGTGGTACTCGGGGTGAAATCAGTAATGAAGTCTGCCAATGCTTAGGACTTGACAGCAGTGCGAGGTTGGTAGGATATGTCAAACTCGCTTAACTCCATTGTCCACTGCGTGAGTAGCCCTGATAGCTCTGGTTTGTGTAGTATCTTCTTGAGGGGGAAAAAGGTGAGTACAACTATGGAATGGCACTAGAAGTACGGCCTGAGCTTCCTGGATGCATGGATGAGGGCGAGGGCCAGTTTCTCCAGCTGACTGTACCGCGTTTCTACGTCGAGGAGTGACTTACTTACATAGTAGACCGGTAGCTGTTTCGTCTCTTCTTCCCAAACCAGTACTGCTGAAATTGCTGTCTTTGAGACTACCAGGTAAGAGTAAAGCTTCTCCCCATCCACAGGCTTGGAAATGAGCAGAAGGGAGATCCGGTACCTTTTTAGTTGTTACCGAGAGTCTTCGTAGGAGGGAGTCCACTAGAGCTTCTTGGACTTCTTGAGGGCATGGAAGAAGAGATGGCACTTGTCAGCAGATCTGGAGATGAATTGGCTCAAGGTGACAACTCGTCCTACCAGGCGTTGGATGTCTTTGATGCAAGCTGGAGATGGTATATTGAGGATCACTCTGATCTGGTTGGGGTTGGCTTCTATCCCTTATTAAGTCACCATGTAGCCTAAGAACTTTCCTGACAAGATGCCAAATGAGCATTTGGCTGGATTTAACTTCATGTTATACTTCCTGAGGATGGCGAATGCCTAGCTGAGGTGGCCAAGGTGCTGTTCGGCCATCTTTAACTTAACGAGCATGTCGTCAATGTAAACCTCCATGGTGTCTTCGAGGTGCTCGACAAACATCTTGTTAATTAGCCGCTAGTAGGTGGCCCCAGTGTTCTTAAGACCAAATGGCATTATCTTGTAGCAATAGGTTCCCCTTTCTGTGATGAAGGTTGTCTTCTCTTAGTCGTCCGGGTGCATCAAGATCTAGTTGTACCCTGAGAAAACGTCTATGAAACTAAGAAGCTCGTGGCCTATGGTTGCGTCAACCATCATGTCAATATGTGGAAGCGGGAAGAAATCCTTCGGGCAGGCTTTGTTCAAGTCTGTGAAGTCGATGCAGACGCTCCACTTCCCGTTCTTTTTCTTTATGACCATGACGTTCGCTAGCCATTCGGGGTAGTATACCTCTCCGATCATACCATTGCTCAAGAGCTTTTCAATCTCTTCATTGATGATTCGGTTCCTTTCTGGCGTGAATTCCTTTCTTCTCTGCTTTACTGATGGGTGATTTGGATCTACCTTGAGCTGGTAGACCATTGCGTCTGGACTGATTCCAGTCGTGTTGGCATGGGACCAGGCGAAGCAGTCTTGGTTCTGTTTGAGGAATTCCACTAGCTTTTCTCTTGTCTCGGGCTTGAGGCGGGACCCTATGTGTGTCTTTCTCTTAGGGCGTCCGGATGTATCTGTACTTCATCCAACTCTTCCATAGATGATTGATCCGGCTCAGTCGGAGGGGTTGGATGAGACTATAATTGCTATGAAGAGTTACCTTTGCCCTTAAAGGCATTCTTGTAGCAGTCTCTGGAAGCTTTGGGGTCGCCCTTGATCTCTCGTACCCCCCATTTGGTTGGAAACCTGATCGTCTGGTGGAAGGTAGATGGGATTGCTCTCATGTCGTAGATCCAGGGTAGACCCAAGATGACGTTGTAGGGAGAGGGGCAATCGATCACTAGAAAGACGGTCTGTTTGTTTACTTTGTCGGCATAGATAGGGAGGATGATATCCCCGATAGTGTACTTCTGCTCAAAGCTGAACCCAACCAGCAGTGTCGGCCGCATATTGATGTTTGCTTCTTCCAGTCTCATAGCCTTCACTGCTTCGAGGAATAGGATGTTTGCTAAAGATCCTCCATCTACGAATACTCTCTTCACTAGGATGTTAGCGATCTGCATGGAGACGACCAGAGCATTGTGATAAGGAGTGGCCAAGGTGACCGGCTTGTCATCTTCAAATCGAATTACCTGATGAGTGTGTGACCATGAGACCGGATGGATGGACTAGACTTCGTGGTGGTGGTTGGCTATGGCATATTTCTGACCCTCTGGAGATGAGCGAACAAAGCCCTTTCGGTGTGGGTTCCCGGGAGGTGGTGATGGTTCTTTTGAGCTTTTCTGGCTAATGGTGTTCTTCCCCTTATCTGTTAGCAGATCTTGGAGATGTCCCCTCTTCAGAAGTGTAGCGACCTCTAGCCGCAAGGCGATGTAGTTTGCGGTGTTGTGTCCATAGTCGCCGTGAAACTCGCACCACTTGGTCTTGTCTCTCCTTGCCTCGGGATTGAGCTTGCCCGACCACTTAATGGTGGATCCCATTCCTTTCATAATCGTGACAACCTGGGTCGGTTCGACGTTGAGGTTGTACTTCGGTATTTTGTACCAGTTCAATCCGAACTGTCTGCTCTCGGTTCTTGTTGGCTGGCGATCATATGGTTTTCTGACTCACCTCGTATTACTTGTTGGGGGTTGGTAGCAATGTTCCACTAGTCTATGCTCTGGCTTCCTGTCATTCCGCCTCGAGTCGTATCTCGGTTTATCTCATCTTCCTCCCATCTTATTTGGATCACTGCCCGGGCCAAGGCGTCTTCCATTGTGGTGTAACCCAGCTTTGTAAGTGATAAGCGTATTTTATACTATGATTTTGCATTGAATTTTGATAGGATTTAGGATACTTTTCATACAATTTGGGCCATAATTGCTACCTAATTCTATTAATTTGTCTTTGTAGGCATAAACGATGATTTTTAGCATAAATGACAGTTTTGAGCGTAAATTGTGTAACTTGAGCTTGAAAACTCGGAATGACCTGAATTTAGAAGCTTTGGAAAGCTAAGAAGAAGAGCTACAACGTTCATGTTTTGGGTTTTTCCTAATTCTGACTGGACAAAGTAAAACTTGGCTTGAAGTCGTGAAAAGGACACTGGGAACTGAAGAAAACGTCTTTGGACGTGCTTCAGTATTCTGCCATAACTTGAGCTGTAGACCTCGGATTGTGCTGATTCTTGAACGACCAGAAAGCTAATTGAAGGGATACAATTCATATGTTTAACACTTTTTCATATTCGAACTCTATCATTCCAAATTGGGCCTGTAATTCTTCGCCGCGGCAGGAAAAATCTTCGCCGCGGCGACAACTTCAGGCTGTAAAAAATAAAACGACGCTTTTTGGCTTGCTAGGACTTCGTCCTTAAGTGAGAGAGGTATAAATTAGAGCGAAAAGGAAAGAAAGGGCCTTGGTTCATGATTTGGGAGCAGCTCATGGAAGGAGAAGATTATTGAAGATTTGGGCTCAAATTAAGAAGATTTCTCCATCTTTTGCTTGCTTTCAATGATGAATCTTGATTCAGTTTGTTTTTGTTGTTTTATTTTCGTTTTTGAGTATGAACTGAGTTGTTTAGCTAGGGTTTGATGTAATCTTGATACAATGATTCAAATTTATATAGATTATTACTTTGAGTTTTAATTTCATGATTGAGTGTTTCTCTTTGCTTAATGTCTTTTGGATGCTTGATCACCATTCAAATGTGTGTTGTTCACAATGAGACTGAGAAGTGATTTGTGATTGTGCCTCTTGGGATAAATACCATAGATTAGCAAACGCTAGAGATAGGTTTAGCGATCTATGAAATCTGATAGAATTCCACAAAGCTTAAATCCTTTGAACTATTAATCTTCATTTTGTTGGGTGCGGAAGCTTAATAGGGATAAGTAGGAAAATGTAGCATGAGAATGTATGTTTTACACTTAGGAATTCGATTTTCGATCAAGGAATTAGAACTTGGGTAATAGATTCTATGTTTGGGTTAGCGTATTTAGGTGAATTCAACACCCTAGCATTTGTTTTAGAATTGTTTAATTAGTTAAGTGTTTGGGTTTTGCATTTGTATTTAGTTTGTTAATCTTCCATCAATCCATTTATTGTTGCTTCAATTAGGCCTTAAACTAGAAAATCGGTAATTAGTACCACTATCCTCGTGGGAACGATACTCACTCATCACTTTATTACTTTTTGCGACTAGTATACTTGCTATTTTTGCATGTTGTAGTAAACCGTATCAGTTTTTGGCGCTGTTGCCGAGGATAGTTGATTTAATTGATAGTACTAGTGTAGTGCTAAATTGAAGCTTTATTTCATTTTTGTAGTTAATTGTAAATATTGTATAGTCTTAAGTATGAGAATTGACATTACCTCTTTCGTGCAAGGCAACGATGAATCACTATATGAAGCTTGGGAGAGGTACACGGAGTTTTAAGGAATTGTCCATATTGGTCTACCGTTTTGGAGACAGTCCAAACATTTTACAATGGGTTCTACCAATATTCAAATGATGGTAGATGTGGCAGCAGGCGGAGCCTTAAATAACAAGACCCCAAGATGCTTATGAATTGCTTGAGTTGATGGCCAACAATAACTACCAAAGCCCTAATGAGAGAGCTGCCGAAGAAACAATGGGTCTACATGAGGTCGATGAGTTTGCCACATTATCTGCACAAGTTACATCACTTCAAAGCCAGTTGGGAGTAGAATGTAAATTCTATTCACTCACCTTTTATAACTTGTGAATTTTGTGCGGAAACCATGAGAGTGTGGAATGCCAATATGGAAACCAGTTATTCTGCTCAACAACCGAGCAAGTGAATTACATGGTTATTTCACAAAGGCTGCAAAGTGACTCCTCTCCAATGCTTACAATCTTGGGTGGGGAATCACCCAAATTTGTCCTGGAGCGATCAAAGCAGTCATCAATCAATGACAACCAACAACATCAACCAGTGGTAATCATCAACCATTAGCAAAGAATGTCGAAATTGGAGGTATATTTGGGGAATTCATGCAAGAAACCAAGTTTTATGAATGAGACACGCTCAAACTTCATAAATCAAGGAGTTGTCATTCAAAATTTGGAGGTTCAAATGGCAATTGGTTGAACAACTGACAGAGAGATCTCAAGGTTCTTTGCCAAGCACAACGGTCACAAATCCTGAAGAACAATTGAATGTCGTAACATTGAGGAGAGGTATAGTGTTGGAGCAACCTCACAATGAAGAAAAGTTGGAAGAACTTGAAGACAAGACCAATGAAGAGGAAAATCTCAAGCGGAAAGGTGTGCAAAATACTTAGGGGATTTCAACCAAGCAACTCACCTCACAAGGAACAATTTGAGGAATTTGGTGTAAATGCGCACAAGTCAATTGGTGTTGGAAGAGACTCCAAACATTGGACTCAACCATCACCATCTCATCTCAAGTACGCATATACGAATTTGAAGTTCCGAAAAATGCTTATGAGAATGTCCGAAATCCAAAGGAAAGATCAAGAGGTGGCAATGGGAAGTGAGCACCCCACAAGGTCCGGATTGACAGGACCATGGGAAAGTCGAGCTTTCACATAAACAAGCGCTTCTGGAGCAACCCAAGTCTTTTCATTGTTTTTCATTTCATTGCTATTTGAATTTGTTTTAGTTTTGTTATGATTTTGAATTAGTTTTAATTTGTGTGTTTTTGGGTGTTTCAGGTGAAGTTTGAAGCTGAGGAAAAGGAAAGAAAAACTTCAGACTTCGCCGGGCGAAGATGTTTTCTTCGCCGGGCGAAGTGCCCTGAAGAATGTTGTAGCTCCTGTAATTTTTCGCGCGGCGAAGATTTGTTGTCACCGTGGCGACGATTGTGTTTTGAATTTAGGGTTTTATCACGAAGAACTTCATCGCGGCGAAGTCTATTCCTCCCGCGGCGAAGTCTTTTTCCTTTTAAAGGCGCGTGACCTTTTATTTTTGCGAAAATTTTCCTGAAGCACTTTTCTTTTAGTTTTTGTTTTTATTCTTTATGTTTTGAGTAGGAATTGATGTTGATTTCCTGGTTTTTGGCTCTTTATTGTTTTTTTAGATTTTAGGTTTAGTTCAATAAGGTTGAGATTAGGATGTAATTCTTCATATTAATCGGTGAGGGTATCTAACACATTTGGCACCATAGACTTCATTTGTTTGCAGATGATGATGATGAGAAGCCAGGAATGGATGCCAGGATGTTGCACAAAAATCAGCCTTTACGATTAGTCAGGGGAGTATCTCATAACCTTTACTTTTGTTTTTCTATTCCTTGGATGTGTATGATGTGACATTGGGGACAATGTCATTTTAAGTTTGGGGTAGAAATAGACATAAACTTGGTTTAAGGGTATACCGGCTGGAAACCAGAACCCGCCTTAAAAACTGCCTAGCAGTACTTGGCAACCTCGGTATAACACCGCCCGTACACCTTAAACGGAAAAAAAAAAAAACATTAGTTATTTTATTTAGTTTGATTGTTTTTGCCGATGATGAATTGCATAAGTCTATGATGAAACTTGAATTGTTGGGATTTTATTCTTGGAAAATGTTACATTGCTTCAAGTTTAGGTTTATTGACTGAATTTTGATTGAGGTTTGTTGGTGGTTCAACCACCTTTTCATTTTTTTGGCATGCTTAGAAATATTTTATGTGGTTAGGTGAAGTTTGATAATGTTGTGGACTCTAGAACCTATAGAGAAGTGCTTAGGCGAAATTCTAGGATTAGACATTGTTGAGGAAAGATTTAGGCATTTTTGGGAACGTAGCCTTTCCAGCCGACCCATGAAGATCTTTCCCTAGTCACCCATTTGAGCCTTATAAGATTATCATTGCCTATTTTCCTTGCAAACCAAAAATTGTCCAATCCCTATACCCTAAACACTTTTCATACCCTTTAGGAGATTATGGACCAAATGTAGACACAAAAGAGCTTTGAGAGGTGTGTGACAGTGATGGACCAAATCTTAAGTTTGGGGGTTGCAAAAAGGGCACGAAGAAGGGGCAATAGACCTCAATGGTGTTGCAAATAATTATTGTAAATTTTATATTTGAAAAAAAAAAAAAAAAGAAAGAAAAGAAAAGAAGAAGAAGAAGAAAAAAAAAAAATTGCTTTAGTTCAATTCAAAATCAACAATAAGAAATGCATAAGTTTGAGGTTTAAAATGGTTGACACTATGATTGGTGGTTGAGAAGAAAGTGGAGATTGATGTAGCTCTTAGTGTTTGCATGAGGAACCGAGTTCTCTTGCTTTATTTATCTATCCTTTTCCTTGGAGCCCACCACCCGAGCTTAATGTTACAACTTGCAAAGACCTTTGATCCTTAGCGATGTCTAGTCCACATTGTGGACAGTAGTTCGATACTTAGGCTTTGAGTCTGCCACCATTTGATAAACTTACATTTCTCATAAAATAATCCGGGAAGTCGGAATGTGGACTGAGTGGGGATCACCTACTCGGGGATCAATAGAGAAAGATGTCGATACAACTTATAACTTCTTGG